GTGTGGATTTCACTGGGCAGAAGATCCCCCACCCCCACCCCAAAACCCAGACTCTTCTACCTGGCTCAGTGTGGGACAAACTAGACGTCCTGTCTGTAACTGTCAAAGGTAGAAGTTGGAGGTTCGTCCTGGCGACATTTTGTTACAGGTTGGGGGTGAGGAGAAACATTCACCTCTTTCCATTTCTGACAGACAGCAAGTAAAGATTCCTCACAAAGAGAAGCCTTTGAAAAGCTCTAAATGGCTTCCTTTGATGAACATACAAGCCCACCTTTATTACTGGCACTTCCAAACACACACAAGAAATACAAAAATTTCTAGTCCTCAGTGTGTGGCCAGTGTTCAGTCAAAGCTAAGAATCCAGACTCTGGTCCACGATGGTTGTGGGGGAGAAGGAAACAGAGACAGACAGACAAGAGAGGAAGTATTGGGCCTCGGTATCCTGCAGCCTTTCCCCATCCCATCTACCATGAGCACAATAAAGCAAGTGTAAGTGCCTCATTTTGTCCACTGTGCAAAGATTTGAGCATGTGTGTGCACTTGGACTTTTCCCATGTTCCCTCTTCAGCAATTCCTAATTGGGTTATGCACATTAATGTCAAGCAAGTCATGTTTTCTTGTCCTTAATATAAACCACTTTGACTTGGCACCGAAATATCCGATTTGGCCATGTTTGGCCAGTTCCTCCTCCAGGCCCTTTCAAACTCCTGTGTATCTGGCCATCTGTTCCTGCTGCTTCATTGATCCATTTCACCACCCGAAATGTCTTCAGCAGACATGATCATCACTAGATAGAAAAACATTTCTGCAATGAGGATCAATACCATTCCTTTCCATTTCAAGGCCTGCGAGCTTCTGAAAGGCTTTTTGCCACCCACGGACTAGGAATTCTTAGCAACCTTCAAGACAGCAGATTCTCCAATCTGACCTTAGCTTCTGTTAGCTGGGAAGGAATTTGGCTTTCGAAAGGCGATTTCTTTCTGCCAGTTAATTGTGCCTTCTATGCTAATGTAAAAGGAGATATTAATTCTTAGGTCCTCCACATCTCAGCCTTAGAAAAGCTCGGTATGTGTCAATCGCACAAAATGCTATTCTCATTTAGATCTTCCCAAGTCTGAAAGAGCCTTTGCTGGTTTATGCAATACCAACTATGCTAATGCAGAGCTAAGAACTGTCTCTGAGCTCCTGCTATGTAGACTTTCGCCAGTGAAGGCAAGGTAAGTGAAAGTCAGAGACACGGCCTTCTCAGTGGTGATGCCTTGACCGGGGTACTCTGCCTACCCATATTGGCCCAGCCCCACATTTGCTGAGTTTGATACATAAAGAACCAGTCTTTCTGTTGATTTTTGTTCTCCCAGTCCGATTCCCCCCACCGGTATATATTTTTGGTAGCCCCAAAGAAATCATGCTGTTTTCAGTTCAGCCTGCTTTTATCTCTAGTTAAATGTATTTTATATTGCTTTTAACAAACTGCTTTTGCACTGCTATCACCCTGCTCTTTGATTTTATTGTGGTGTAGAGGATAGAAGAAGAGGAGATTGGATTTATACCCCACACTTCACTACTCAAAGGAGTCTCAGAGCGGCTTACAAACTCCTTTCCCTTCCCCTCCCCACAACAGACACCCTGTGTGGTAGGTGGGGTTGAGAGAGCTCTGACAGAAACTGCTCTTTCCCAAGGACAGCTGTGCCAGAACTATGGCTTGCCCAAGGTCATCCAGCAGGTGCAAGTGGAGGAGTGGGGAATCAAACCCGGTTCTCCCAGATTAGAGTCCGCGCACTTAACCACTACAACAAAACTGGCTCTCCAGTGAGGTGTAGTGGTTAATGCTGAACTAAGACCTAGGAGACCCCAGCTTGAATCCCCACTCTGCCTTGGGCCAGTCCTACAATTTCAATCTAACCTACCTCATAGGGTTGTTGTGAGGATAAAATGGAAGAGATAAGAATGATGTAAATCACTCTGGACCCCAATGGGAAGAAACGGGGAGTATAAATGGGGGGGGGGGTCTTTAATGCACTTGATTTTACTTGTTTTTATATGCTCAGGAACAGCTACACAGAGAGGCGGAATGTTTTGAAACAACACACAACCATCTCAGTTGTCATTTTCCCTTGAAGCACAACTTTAAAAAAAGAACAGGTATGAGAACTCATGGCTGCTGAGTCAAAGCACAGGCACAGCCATTCTGGCTGGAGTAGATTTTGCACGCAACCGTTCACAGAGCTTCCCCCAAGTAAAGAAGTAAAGAAGCTTCTCCAACATTGAAAAACTGAGATAATGAAAAGATACATGGTTTGCCTGTTTGTTGCTCCTAGCATCCTGAATAAGAAGACATGTATCAAACAAATCTCCCAAACCTAATGCTGAAAGCTCCTAGAATGTGTGGTCAGCAAAAACTGTCAACAAATTAACATGCATTAAAGATTTCGACCGTTAGCATCCAAACATCTTTCCTCACATTTGTTGTACACTTCAACTGCTGTTAAACATGCACATTTCCACAGTCAAAAATATTCAGGGCAGTTTCACAAGATGCTGTACCAAATGGCCAGCTAAACCCAACACTTCTTAAAATACTCTTATCATTCATCAATAACATGTCTACATTCACCTAGAAAAAAAGGAAACTTAAAACATGCATGCAGCAAACACCAAGAGCCTTAGCAAGTGACAACAGCAACCAAACACAAAATCTGTATTAGAATATCATTGCCAGTGAAAGTAAAACTACAAGAAGTCAGAGCAACCAGCTGTACAGCTCAAGGACATCTACCTTGACCTTGTAGAGAAATAGCATGGATTTTTTTTCTCCTCCTGCCTCTGATCTTAAGTAGGACAGCAACAGAGTAGCTCAATTCAGTAGGCTTCATGATCAAATGTCATAATGAGGCAAACCCAGTTAATTGTTGTACTTTCCCTCCTCCCTAAGCGCTTAAGAATCCAATTTACTGAGATGGAAAGAAGCATCAGTTAGTGTAGGCCCTCATATACAGATATCACAACCAACTGGTGTTAGCTGAAGACTTCTGTCTTCAATCGCCATGTGAGATTCTCAAGGGGAAGACGGAGGAAGCATATGAGTGTGACAAAGAACTAGTTTCATGCCCATCAGCTGGCTTGTGATGTATGAATCAAGTTATTCTCTATCAGAGCAGTACAGCAGCCTCAACATCTTTTTTCCAGTGGGCTATTTAAGAATGGAGCAATAATATTTATGATTGTAAAGTGCTTATAACTGCAATGATGGAAGCAGAGTCCCACCCACAGGCAGGTCAACTCCAGGAGTTTCTCCAAGGATATACATTACTTTCAGTCTTTTCAACTGGGTTTCCAGTGTGGTTACAGAGAGAAACTGCCTCGTAGGGATGGACATGAACCAGCTCACGAATATAAGTGACAAATTTGGGGCAGTTCATGGTTTGTGAACAAAAGTTCACAAACAGAAGAACTGCCACAAACCTCCACAAATTTTAAGGCAGTTCGTGGCGGTGCGTGAAGAGCAGAAAGCAGGGGTTTAAATGGCTCTGAGCCATTTAAACCCCTGCTTTTTGCTCCCCGCCACTCAGCTGTTTTTCACAGGGAGCAGAAAGTGGGCTTTAAACGGCTCTAAGCCACTTAAATCCCTGCTTTCTGCTCCCAGGGAAAAGCAGCACGGAGCAGAAAGCAGGGATCACAAACTGCTACAAACCGTTTCAGTTTGCAATCCAACCTCTCAGTTTGTATCAGTTCTCGGTCCAGTTTGTGGTTTGGCCATGAACCGAACTGCAAAAATCTGGTTTGTGCCAGTCCCTACTGCCTAGTTACCTGAATTGATGACTTACTTTGGACTATTGTCAGAAGGAGTATGTCAGTTTTAGTTCCTTTCTGGTTTTTAATACCATCAACCATACTGTCCTTATAGTCTGCCTGGAATGAGGGGGAAGGTACTGTTTTGCAGTGGCTTTGCTCCTTCTTTAAAGACAGGTCTCAGACAGTGGTGCTTGGAAACTGCTGCTGTGCCCCTTCGCCCCTGGGGTTCCATCTTGTCTCCCATGCTAGTTAACATCTACCGGGAGATGCTGGTTAGAGGTCACCTACAGATCTGGAGTACAGCACCACCAATCTGGGGACAACACACAACCCTCCCTCCTTTCCATCAAATTCTAGGAACAAAAGAGTAATCCTTAACTGGCATCTGCAGATAGTGAAGGGACAGGTGTGAACAACCTGAAATTTGAAGTAAGGCTGTCCTGTAATTAGGGTTACAATATAGTTTAGATGAGTTGTACCATTCCTGAAGGAACATACAAGTGATCTTAGACCCATCTCTGCTTCTAAGAGTTTAGGAGGGCTCACCAACTGGAACTGTTCTTGGGAGTGGCAATCAGGCCTCAATTACACATGCCTTAATAATATCCCGCTTTGATGACTGTAACACGCTCTATGCAAGACAGCTCTTGAAAAGAGGCCAAAAGTTTCAAAACATGCTAGCGAGCAGAGCCCCAAGTCTGAGGAATTCCCTGACCCCAGGAGGAAGTTTACCTTCCCCCTCACATTTGGCCTTCCAGAAGTTAGCCTCATCTTTTTTTAAAAAACCTCAAAAGGCTTTAGATGCTTTTATCTCTTAAACTTTTTTAAACGTCCTGTTAATTTTTTTCACTGGTTTATGGTTGTTTTTAATTCTCCTTTGGGTTTTGTTCTGCTGCGGCTCGTATTTTGCTGCTGATCTTTATCTGCTTTATTGATTCTGTTTTAATTGTTTCCTAAACTAAGCAAAATCACACCAGCTGACAATAAACAGTAAGCAAGCTAGGAAAACCCTGCTGCACAAAGAGAACCGTGACAGTTCAATCGAGTCTGCAAGCTCAGATCAAGCCAGTCTGTCCAGCACTCAGCATTCCCATCCTTCAGAAACCAACCAATCATGTGGGCATGGAACCAGACATCAGCAGTCACTGTAGCCGAGTGCAGAGAAAATACAGAGTTAAGCTGAAGGCAAGACAGAAAAACACACTCACCATTGCAGTTCTCTAGATGCCAACCCCGTCGGTTCTCTTTCTGGAGGTGCTTGAAAAGATCCACCTACGGGAAAAGTCAACAAAGCCAGTGTAGGAACTGGATGCACTCATTGAGAAGCAACTCTAGTTTCAGTGAAGTAACTCGTGTGCTCCCAAACAAGGCGTTCTACAAGGAGTCTTATACACGCTACACTAACTCAGGCTCAAGGTGCTAAATCATGAGATAGAAAAGGTATTAGGTTACATCTGATCCAGAATGAAAGAACAAGTTTAACTAGGGATGGGGTGGAAGAAAAAATGGTCAAGGCCCTCTTCCCCCCCCCCAAAGGTGAGCAAACAAAACACTAGCAGTTATACCTGTTCTGGGTGTGCTCGAAGAACTAATCTCCTCCTGGAAACTAAAGGAAAATTGCTGATCCAGGAAGAGGAAGCAGTATCAGGGGCTAGAACAGAAGTTACCCACCACCACACCTTCCTCTTTACAACAGTCACTATTTGACTGTGTCTGTCTCTCCCCAAAAAGGAAAATTCCCTGTTCGCTATAGAAAGTCAGACTCTAAACCTCTTGCATACAGCCAGTTCATTGTTTTGGTCTTTTAATCACATTCCACTTTGACCAAGAGACACAAAGCCTTGTAACAGACTATTCTCGGCTCCCCCAACCTGGCTTCCTCCTCTGTCCTCTGAAGTGAGCTAGCCGATGAGCTCTGAAGCACAGGGCAGAAGAGACCCATGCTTGCCCCTGACCACTCCTAGGCTCTGCCATCCAGGCTGCTACTGATGAATGAACAATGGACAGATCTGGTGCATTTCGTCTGCAAGGAGGGGCATTTTACTTCTGTCACTCAAGTAGTTCAGCAAAGGGGCAGCAGGGAACATTCTAGGACAGAGGTGTCAAACTCATCTGTTATGAGGGCCAGATCTGACATAAATGTCACTTTGTCAGGCCGGGCCAAGGCCATGTGTGCCATAAAATGTAATGTAATGCTAGGAACCAGAGATATAAACTGCATAAAGAACAGCAGCTGGAAAGTTACTCACTGCAGTGCCCCATGGGCTGGGAGGGGGGTGCAAAGGAAAACCCATTTGGGCAGACTGGAAAGCCAGCAGAGCAGCACTGGGCAGACCCTCCCACACTGCTTGACTGCTACAGGTGAGGTTGTTCCGCCATGCTGAAGCCACAATCTGAGTGGCTCTGCCCACTCCCCCTCCCCCCAGCAGTCTCCTGTTCCCTCCCACGCACTAGCTGCTCACGGGCTGCATAAGAGCCCTGGACGGGCCGGTTCCGGCCCCCTGGTCTTATGTTTAATACCCCTGTTCTAGAAGAACTAATTTCTATGCCAACCCACCTGTTCTCTTGCAAGATCAAATTCTGTGCCTTAAAAGATAAGCAAGAAGTGCTAGAAAAGGAAGGAAGGAGGGCAACCCCCTTCATGAGTCAACCACAGGGAGGCAGACTTGGCCCATCTGTCATACTATCTTGTATCATCACTTTCTCTGAATACACAGATTTCATTTATGATAAGTTTATGATACATGCACGGGGGGACCGGAAGATTATTTTGTTTGCATTTGTGTTTTAGTTTCCTCTTTTTATAATACATGGGTCCTTTAATGTATATTTCTACTCCTAAATGCCTTGAAGCTTAGCACAACGGTATACACAACAGAGTTCCCAAGAAAACACTGCCAATGTTGGCTCCTTAATGTTTTCACAGCAAAGAACTATGTTAAGATCATCGACATAGAATCACTGATGTGTGAACGCTAGGATAATAAACAGGAATCAGAAATGTGTATTCTATTTAATCTAGTGTAACCCTAGTGAAATTAGCAAAATCACTGTGCAGTGATTTTGTGAATTACCCCTGTGGTGCATTTACAAGGAGAGCAGTCTTCCAAGATTATCCCCTTTTCAGCTGCCTACTGAATGTCTGGTATACAAGGGTTCCCTAATGGATGTTTTTAAGCAAACCAAAGTGAATTTACAGTGCCACCCAGATTGATCTCAAAGGATGTATAGACTTTCGTTTGGCAAGTGCAGAAGTGAAATGAAACTTTCTGAAGAAATAGACAATTGGGGAAAAAATACCTTGTGAAATCTCAGTCTTTCTCTGTTTGAAGGTGCCTGATCTTACTGAAAACTGGCATTTTCCTGAGGGGAGAAGAAGAAGGGGAAATAAAGAGTCAGCTGCATGGAAATCACTAGGGAGGCCAGAAAAATAAACAAGCTCTTTGCCCATTCTCAGAAGCAATCTATCATCTCCCAGCAGCTCTGCCCAGTATGCCAACGAACTCCAACTGTACTGGGCAATTGCAACACGCTCCGACTGTACTGTGCTCCGGATGGCTTATTGAAGCAGATCATTCGGAGTATATTCATCCATTTCCCCCCTTTTACGAACACCAAGGTACAACAAAATATAACAAAATGATGTCAGACTTGCCAGGCCTGAAGAACTCTCCTATTCTTCAGCTCACCCAATGGACAGGATGGAAAAGCTGCCTTGTAAGAGGCGTTCACCTGGACTTGGATGGCCCAGGTTACCCCAATCTCATCAGATCTTGGCAGCTGAGCAGCCCTGGTTGGTACTTGGATGGGAGACCTCCAAGGAAATCCAGGATTGCTACACAGAGGCAGGCAATGGCAACCACCTCCGGATGGCCTTTGCCTTGAAAACCCTACAGAGTTGCCTTGAGTCAGCTGCAATTTGACAGAATTTTCCACCCCCACCAGGAGGTGTTCAGAAGAGGCCACTTGAGCAGGTGCAGCTTAGCCGCCAACAGTGAGAAAAGCTACACTTGCCACTAAAATGACATCTTCCCTACCTGTGGCAGGTAAAGGAGTTCTCTTCTTTGCAGTGGGTCGCCCTGCACATGGGTTCGGTACAGACTTCAAACTAAACCATGGTTAAGCAAGCTCAATTTTGGTTCGATAGGATTTCCAAATGCAGAGAACCATGTTTTTTGATTACCAGGGAAACCAAGACTGAATCCATAGTCTGAAGTGAGCTTGCAAACCACGGTTTGGCTAGTTCTGGAGTAATGTGATATCTGAATAGATGCACTATAGTTACGGTCATTGCTTTGCCTCTGGGAGCTGTCGCAGCACAGAAATGGGAATCTGAGTGCTAAGAGAACAAACGGAAGTGGACAGGAAGCTGTCCTAGGCCTGTAAATACAAACCATGACTTAGGTTCTAAACCATGTTAGCGCAAATCACAGTTTGGTACAGTGACATCCCCTGCCCCTTGCCCCGGCGTGCCTCTCTCCTGACCAATTCAGGACCCAAGGAGGGAATAAAGACTGGGGGTGGTCATTACTCCACAAGCAACAGCTGTTTGCCAACTGGCGTTGGAGCAACTACTTCAGAGTCATGCCCTGATGCTCTGCCAAACAATAAGGTTAGCTATAATTCTTTACCATTCCACCAACAAAGACCCATTGTAACCTGGATATTCCTCCTGTACTTTTTAAAACTGCAACAGGATCAAAAGATGAAGGAACCATGGTTTCACTTGTCTGTCATTCTCCCCACCCTGTGTACAACAGGATGCCCCATCTGCCATATATTAGATACAAGGGGGGGGGGGGGGAATAGCGCTGGGGAATATCGTGGCAGAAGAAACTGCAGCAACCCCATCTCCCAATTCAGAGGCAGATGTGAAAAGGTAGAGAAAGGATTTCTGGATCGCAATCTGTCAATCCTAAACGCATGTATCTGATGAAGCGGATTCTAACTTACGCCAGCTTGCATCACAATGATCCATGAAGCCTGTAAAGGGCTTGTCCTAACAGTGTAAGTAAGTAAAGATTTATTCACAGCAAAAAGCCAGCACTCTAACAGTCTAACTAACTCAAACTAAATGTATACAACCACAAGCATAAACTAATAAACAATGCTAACTACTTTTCTAAAAATGTGTCCAGGCAAGTATGGATGACAACATCCTTGATACGCAATAAAATGGGCTGTTAAATGCTGGTTGCTGTCCACACTCACAGGTAGCAGTTCTCTGTTTAAAAGTGATTGGCAGAGGTACCACCCTACTGCCAATCTTGTTAAGGAAACTGGTGTTGGCAGACAAGATGTCACGTCCAAGCTGTTTTCTAAGGGACATGAGGCTCTGAAGCCTCGAACCTCAATACTGCTCACACAACAATACTAGAAAAACGAGCCCCGCTTCCTGCAAGCAAATGGTTCCAGGTTAAGCTTGCTTACAACTAGATTGCATGAGATACAAAAAAATGCGATATTGGGTCAATTCTGCCTCAGGAATACACCGCATTTGAAAACATGCATCCTCTTCAAATCAGCAGGCACTGGTTCAGTAAAAGGGCGGCCCGATATGTGATATACATACTCCAGTTAAGTGCCTAATTTAAAAAATAGAAGTCGGTGGGGGAGTAACAGAAATATGTGAATGCT